TCAACTTAATATGTCCAACCGAGTTGCTAAATATTTTCACTGACCCATACCAACTATTGGGAAAAGATGATAATAGTAGCAATACCTGGAGTTCATCCTCAAATCCAATATCAACCACAATCAACATTGGGATGATTGAATTGAATTCATTAACATGACTAGTCTCTGAGCCACCATCCTTCCTCTTTAATTTCATCAACTGCAAAATCAAGAAAACCTTATTCGTTGATGAAGGTTTTTCGTAACACATTAATCAACGCATAAGTAGTTTTCACATTGACAAACTTTTAAGTTATATTCATTTTCAAGGATAATCTCACTACACCAAGTGCATGCCAATATAATAAATTCTAATTCTCCTAGTTCATCGCTTCTAGTTTCTTTCAGGATAATGGTTCATCTTATTTCACCTGGTGGAGATAGTCTTTGATTTGCATTCTTTAGATTCCATAATCATGACCTTCGAATTAGCCGATCTTAACTTTCCAATCTTCAACCACAACTTTGATACCAATTTGCTGGGAGTTTAACAAAACAAGTTAAGCAACTTCAAACAAATGATAAACGATTTCACAAAAAACGTGAAAATAAAATCGAGAAAATTTTCAAACAAAAAAATTAACACAATATTTAATGTAGTTCAGTTAAAGTGATCTACGTCTATAAGAGAGAGAGAGAGAGAGAGAGAGAGAGAGAGAGAGAGAGAGAGAGAGAGAGAGAGAGAGAGAGAGAGAGAGATGATTTTATTAAGTTCCAAGAATAATTACAACTTTACAATCAATCACAAAAGGCTACACCTCACTCGATCTCTCAAACAAAAGTAATATTTGTTATTGACAAACTGCTCTAAAGGATATGCTCTTAACCTCACAATGATTTCTCTCTTGAAATCTATGCACTCACATACACATAACTCATGAAAATATTGAAGGAGATGGGAGTACCAATTTGTAGGCACACATAGGGATGAGCTAATTATGGATAGGTCTTTCTAATTCTGATGGGCCAGAACCATCCATAATTACTTTCTAAATGGAATCAACTAATCACAAGATGTCATGTAACTTTTTCTAGAATCTTTAACCTTGAGGGATGTATGTGTCCACCTGTCATCCACATAAGAGAATATTTTCAAGACCAAACAACACCTTCTCAGCTTAAGCAACACATTCTCTAGCTGTTAGAGCGTACGCAACTACTAAGCATTGCTTTTGCCAAGTTGGAGTGCAATCTGTCAAGCCTAGTATGCATTCTTACATAGCTTGAACACATCCTATAACTAAAGTGCCTTCCTGCATGGTTGGAGCTCATTTAGAATGCTCTAGTAAATTTAGGTTTTAACGTCTTTTCATCATGGAAGCACTTTCTCACCAAGAGCACTTTTTCTATCCAAAAGCAAATTGTTCACCAAGAACACATTTTCTCAAGTCTTCACACTTGAACACATCCTTGTAGCGGTCATGTTGACATGTTCAGGGGCAGGTCAAGGGGCTGTCTTTTGAAATATAAAAGATTTTGAAGAACTACTAAGTGGATACTTTATAAATTTCTTGGCATATATTAACATTATTATTAAGGTTCTCCAATTCTCAAATTCTGGAAGAAACAATCTTTACACAAATTTAGTAATTTGACTTCTAGCTTGTTGCCTAGACTCAGAAGTTGTTATTCATTTCGATTATCTTAGTAACTTTTGTATACCCAGAGAATTACCTCTAGTTCTTGAGTTTTAGCAAAGAAAATAAAAAGAATAGGAAAGAGAGTATGAGAGAAAAGAAGAGAAATGAAAGAAAAAAAAAATTGTTTTTTGTGTTTTTGAGTTAGAGAAAAGTGAAAGTAAAATTAAGTGAATATGATTTAAAATGGCAACCAATAATCTGAAATTTGCTCTTTAGGCCACTAAACTTTTAATTGTATGCAATAAGAAAACCAAAATTTTATTTTGGTTTTAAAATCCCAGTGATTACGATTTTTATCGATTAAAAAGACAATGAACACCGTGATTTCCCTTTCGACATCTAACTAAGCCTATATAGTCTTTTTTCTCAAATAACAACTTCAACTATACAGATTTTTAACGATTAAAATGACAATGTCACAAAACAATATAGTGTTGGTAATGATTATCGGTTGTGGTTTGAGAAAAATGATTACAAGAAGCTTGTAGCTAGATGTGGCAAGGGCAATGACGGTGATCATTGTCATTATAATTTATAAAAATCGTAATTGTTTGCATTTTAAAACCAAAATAACAATTTAAATTCATTATTAGATACAATTAAAAGTTTACTGATCTAAATAGCAAATTTTGTGTTATTGGTTGTTATTTTAAATCCTTTTCCCTAAAATTAAACATTGTGTTCTTTCTCTTCAATCCTTCTAAATTGAAAGGAAAGGAGAGAAAATTTTCCTTCTAGTTCCTTTCATTTTTTTCCCTTTAATAAATATGAAAAACATCAATTTATTTTACTTCTTAAAGACCAAAATACTACTTATGAATAGTGTCTCAAACACGATATAGTTCGTTATCTAAGTTATTAACTACTACCACATCCTTTGAAGAAATCCCCAACACAATTTGATTTTCTAATTAAAGCAAGAACTAAAAAAAACAGTAGTTAATTAAATAATTAATCATAAGAAGAGAAAAAAAAAACGAACAAATAATAGGAGATCTGCATTGAAGTGCAAAAGTAATTTGACTACGCTTTACTCTTGAAACCAATATAACCTCACTAGAACTAACGTAACGAAGAGTATGGATTCGACCATGTTTCATATCACTTCATTCAAAGTCCCGTGATGCTATCGAATTTTCCCTATTCAGTTGTTGGTTCTGCATAAATATCATAAAGTTAGCAAAATTAACAACATTCTTGAAACAAGATGTATAAAATTGATCTATCAATCTTTCCTGAATTATACCTGCAACTTTGTACCAATCTCAATGACTTCAGCAAGTGGTGCCCAGTCTCCAAAGTTTCGTTCTATAAACTGGTAGGCAATTCCACTTTTCCCTTTGCCAACAATAAAAAGTCCACCTTTTATTTCGCCTTCTCCCTTGAAGTTTTGCTCGATTCCCATAGCTTTCGCACGCTTGTAGTTTGCACGAGCTCGAGGATTAAAGAGAAACCCTGATATGAATTTGTCTTTAAGCAATGATCCTCCACCAAGAGCTTTGAAAAAATCCATGTTCTTGTCAAGAAGCACAACCCCACCCCAATATCGTGGCCAGAAATCTCTTACCTCTGATTCTATATGTTCATGAAGAACAGCAAAGAGATTGATCCCAAGTGCATCAAATATTGGTTTCTTTGAGTAAAGTTTATGCGCTTCAGCTCTGCACATGATGCATCCCGGCCGGCGGATGCAAAGGAGAAGCGATGGTTTGTCCCGCCACAAGTCGGAAACTCTCATCGGCGGTGTCTTGGTTTTGACTAATCGCTCCATACCTATCTTATACTCCGGTGTTAGCTTCTGAACTGAAATATTCTCGATACTGGAATATGGAGCGACATCATCGACTATGGGAAGTGGTTGTATACAACCACACGCCCTAGGCTCATCAGGTAAGGAAGCGACAACCCCTTTGAAGATATACCCATCTTTGATCTTGAAATCAGCGATTGATTGCTCGATTGTTGAATCATAAGCTATGTTGCTTCGTGTTGACATAGCCTGTAATTTTGGTTGAGTAGAAATCGATGGATTCTTGAACATACTTGGGTTTCGCGAAGGTGGGTTCGATGGTTTTCTTGCAGGGAGAGAAAACGACGATGGGATTGGATCAGCTTCGCATTGTGAGGTTCTGTCCATGAAACGTGCGATGTGTCCTCTTTTCATGGCGAATTGAGAAGAAAGGTCTGAGATTCCGAGGTTTAGAAGCTCTGCTAGACATTTTCCTGAAGCTTCTAGCTTATCTGCGTATTGCATTAGTGATCGATCATGAAGGTATGACCTCATCTCCAACGCATCCTTCAGTAAAGCAAAAGAAATTATTCTAAAAAAGTACAACTTTCATAGAAGATAATGAGAACAATACATATGTGATATATATAGCTTACTTTTTGTGCTTGATTCATGTTGATTGCACTCATGTCTTCTGTATTCATTATCTTCAAAGTTGGAACATCATCCCAACCATCATCTAGCAGCTTCGGAAGAAGTTTCTTTAGAGATCCGGTTCCCACAAAATCCTCCATTGAGAAAGAAGCCATGGAATGTTGAAAACAGTATCAAATTGATGAACTTATAAGCCTAAATCCCATCTTAGAATACAAGAGACGTCCATTTGCATGTTATATAGTACTATAAAACAAGTAGAAACTTGTGTCTTTTTGACAATATCAATGGCGGTTTAGTTAATTAGATATTAGATAAGAGAAAGACGTGTTCTTCTAATAAACTATTCAAAGAAACAATCTATAAACAATTTCATGAAATAGAAAATTAAGCAGCAAATAGTTGATGATGACGTCATCTTACTTGCCGGCCTTAACCACTTGTGCTATATTTTAATCTTTACTATAACTTGGGGTTTTATCTCAAAGCCAATTGGCAACAGCTATGTACTCATAAAATATGTTTATATTTCTTGATGTGTGTCATTAATCTTGAATTATAAAATATTAGTCATGGATTTGGTGTAACAAGACAAAAAGTCTAGTGACTATTTTGGTTGCGACTTGTGCCTTTGTATGCCGGCCAATTAGAGAAAGTTTGCATCTTGCTAACATATATTTGTTTTCTAAACTTTTTATTAATTACTTAATTCATCAATTATTGTGGCATTTTTTTTTTTTACTATTTGGCTAGAAAGGAAACAAAACTTTCCTTATAAGGGTTTGAATACCTCTTTTCCAAAGACATGTTTCAAAGCTTTGAGGCAACTGTTGTATTCTGTAATGCACAAATTAACAATATTTTGATTCTTGATATATGGAAACTTTACAAGTAGTATTGTATGCTATACAAAAAGTATGTAGAATTACATTGAAAAATTAATTCGTATTAAAGTTAGGCATTGTATTCAAATGCCTCAAGATTCTCTCAGCCATCAACTTAACGTCAGCATGGCCATGATGCAAAGTATTGATCAACATTGCACGGAAGAACCTGTCTTGTGATATTTCAGAAGTTGAGTATTCATCTCCTTTCATCAACATTTTCTCTAAAATCCAAAACGATTTTTGCCTTAAAGACTCATCTTTATGCTCCTTCACCACATTCAAAACATGGTGTATAGCCTTTTCATGGATCAAAATACTCACACTTGTTTCCAAATCAACTCTTTCATCTAACAAAGTGCAAATAGCCGATAATGCAGCCTCCACTACCTCTACATTCTTGTGGTCAAAGCAAGTCAATAACTTCTGAATCGCATTTGCTTCAAGCAAACAAAAGGTTTCTTGAGAAGAACAAACTCCTTTGTGAACTGGGCACATGTACATTGGTGTGGTTTTAAGTTTTCTTGAATTGAATGGGAAACATTTCTGTAAAAATGAAAACTTTCTCAACTTGGATTCCTTGATATCGGCTGGCTTTGATAAAAAAATAGTCTTTGATGAAAGATTCTGTAACCCAATTGCTGATAACCTCTGAACTTCATCACTTGTGGTCGTAAGCAATTCTGTGAACATTCTTGTGAACCTAAAACTCATTGCTAAAACCAAAAACTGTTGCTCGTATAGAGTTGATGTAAACCGAACAAGAATTCCCACAAGTCCTTCAAAATAATCACTTCCATATTTGCTCATTCTCATGCCAGATTTCTGAACACGATCTATTTCTGTCAAAATTAAAGGAACGATATCCATGTTGAGTAGAGCAAGATTGAGAGTAAGATTTTCATGGGGAAGTTTTGCTAAAAATTTGACTGAAACCGCTTGTTTTTTTGTTGGTGGCGTTGTTCTTGGCAAATCTTTTAGCAAGTTTTGAGGTTGGCCTCTTGTTTTACATAGCCTTTCTGCTAATGTGTGACCAAAAAATGGCGATAGAGAAATCGAAAACAAGATAGAAGAGATTTGAAGTTTCTCACTTGGGTTATTCAGAAGTTCAATCAAATTTGTGCATAAATCGCTCTCTTTTACCAACGACACAATGATATCCGATGTTTTTGGGAATTTCATGAGGCACAATAGGATTCTAACAAAGTTGATGTTCAATTCATCTGGTGTTGAATTGGAGACACCCTTCACGAAATTGTAAATGACGTAATCCAATGACATTGTGTGGTCAAGTTGAAGGTCTGTTAGGTCAACCGCTCCTGATTCAAGGATGTTTGCAAGTATCCCAGCTGCTTCTGCTTTCGAATTCGTTGGCTCATTATAGATTGTTCTTTTGAACATTTCATGCAACATGTTAGTTATTGCACCTGATTTCACAAGAATCTTTCCGTTTTCATGGTGAGATGAGATTTGCTTCAGTGCTTTAAATGCAACATTTCTTGCCAACGAGTTACCTTGAAACACCATTTGGATTAGAGCATGTGAAGCAGTTTCCGCAACGTAGGTGTTGTTATCATCATCGTTTCCAAGAAAAATTTCGCCAATGAAACTTGCCATTTCCATCTTGGTCTCTTCATCACCTGTTTGATTTTGTATATTTGAATCATGGGTTTATCTCATAAAAAACCTTAGGTTGCGTTTAGTTACGGAAAAATAGTTTTCATTTTCCTTTTTAGTTTCTGTTTTACGTTTTCATTTTTCATTGGAAAATTTAGAAAACACGTTTAGTTAAAACTTATTCATTTTTTATTTTTAGATTTAGAAAAATTAAAAAACGTGTTTAGATGTATATTTTTCTATCGGTTTTCATTTTTAAAAAACGGTAGCGGCAGTAGGGTGTGGGTGGGGGCGGCAGCGGTGGTGGTGGCGTCAATTGCGGCAATGGTGGTGATGGCGGCGTTGGTTTTAGTGATGGGGTAATGGTGTTGGTGGTGATGGTAGTTCGATGATTATAGTAGTGGTGTTGGTTGAGTGGGTGTATGAGTGTGTGTGTTTGTTTGTAGGGGTGGGGGCGTGGATGGGTGTGTGTGTGTGCGTGTGTTTGTGGGGGTGTGAGTGGGTGAGTATGTGTGTGTTTGTGGGTGTGGGTGGGTGGGTGTGTGTGTGTGGGGGGGGGGGGGGTAAAATGGGGGTAGTAGAGGTGGATAGGGTGGGAATGGGTGTGTGTTTATATTTTAGAAAATTTTTAGAATTAGAAAAATATGAAAACAATGATTATCAGTTTTCCAAAATTTCCAAATTTTTTGTGAATGTTTTTGAAAAATAGATGAACTAAACGTGTTTTCAAAATTCTCATTTTCCTTAGAAATTTTTTCCGAAAAACAGTTTATTTTTTTGCAACTAAACGCAACATTATATATATATATATAATATATATATATATATATATATATATATATATATATATATATATATATATATATATATATATATATATATATTTCCAGATTTAAGCATTAACCGTCTAGCTGTTTTCAAGTACATTCTAAACTTTTTTAGTTTTCTCAAAAAACCCACTCATTTTACAAGTTTTTTTTCTAAAAAAGAAAAGACTAAAAGGGTCGGATCGAAAAAGATAAAAAAAATACAAGGTATTTTTCAAGAAAAAAAATAAATTTGAGTTTTAATCCGAAAAAATACAAAATATAAAGTATTTTTAGATAGTATTTGATACGATTAAATTAGCATAATGGAATAATGGAATGGTTAATAGAAAACCCATTTGTTTTACCCAATGAAATGTAATTGACCATTGCTAAAGGAATATGTTTCCCTCCATTTTGTAAACTTTATTTCCATGAAAGGGAATGAAAAATTGCAAATAATCCGTTTTTATATATGTATTTTTCAACGAAAAGTATGTTATTATTTTAATTTAATCCATTTTCTGCGTAACAAAAAGTACTTATTTTTATTTTAAGTTTTTTGGGCTTCATTAGCTTTGATTATTTAATTTTGTCTTTTTGTAAATAAAAGTCCGTTTAATGTATAGAATAGAGTTAAATTTTTTTTTTTTTTTTTTTTTTTATATCTACATTTAATATATAAAGTTCATATGAAATTCATCCTATTCATCCTAGCAAACCGAATATGATCATGGAAAGTAACGCCTCATTGTCTCATTCCAATATTCTAGTCATTCCATTCATTCGTCATTCCATTTCATCAAACCTAACATACCCTTAGAGATTGATAGAAGGGAATATAAATTTTGTTATAAACATTTTTAACTAAAAGTTATACCTTCAAGAAAATGATGCAATAGGGGCTGCCAATGTCCATTTTCTGCCATACACTTGATGTTACTTGATGACCTCTCCAAGTTTTTCAAAATTTCATCAATTTTCTCTAAAGCCAACTCATCAATTGGCTGTCTATACTTCAGAGTAATCAGCATTAAAACTCCTCCGGTAACCGAACCAAATTTATCACAAAATTCGCCACTTTTTGAAAGATCAACAAGAAGAAGCAAAGCCGCATGCCTAATACATTCAACTTCACTCGACAAATTCTGTATTATAACCGATAAGTCCATTGTCTTGACAATCATTTCCTGCAAAAAGGATTCAATTTTTCTTCAAATCTTACACAATCATAATATATAACAACATAATTTTAGATAGAAGTTTACTTTTCCATCATCATCATCATCCTCAACATTTTCAGCCAACTTTTTTAGTAACTCAAGAGCTTCAAAGACCACATCTTTGTCTTCATGTCCCAAGATTCTTCCAAGAAGTGGTATGACACCAATAGTACGTATCTCAACCACATTGTATTGTTTTTTTCTACATAAAGTTTGCAAATTATTCAACGCTTCAAGAATCATGGTCTTGTTAGTAGCTAAAGATAGAGTTGATTTTGCAGCCCTTATAATTGCTTGTTCATTTCTTTCCTCCCATTTCTTGATCGTTTCCATTAATGCAATATTTCTGTTGAAAACTTGACTGGTTATCTTAACGCCTGTTTTTGGACAAATGATGTCAGCAGGATCACCAAACTTTTTACACCATTCTATTATTGCCTCTCGCTCATAAGTGATGCCTGTTTCGATTGTAACAGGATCATCCATTATCTTATTTGTCAATGGACAAAAGAAAGTTTCATAGAGTGGTTCCATGTAAACATCTATTCTTTCTGTCGATTCATGGTCCATGGAACCTTGAAGAACATTAATGTTGTAAAGATCTTTCTCATTGTGAACATATATGTCTCCTATCGTCTGCATTTCACTAGCTTCAAAATAAAAACGTTTGATGTCTTTCACTATTGATTGAATCGCATATATAGTGGAAATATTCTCCTGATGCTGATTTTATGGATTATAGACCGTCACCCATGTGTTTAATTACCCTATCGATCTGTTTTATGGTTCTTTCGGCTTCTTGTTTTTGTGTAATAAAACTGATACGCGTAATGTTGCATTTTGACAACAGGATTTTGCTATATACATAAATTTTGATAGGGAAAGTTAGATCTCTTCTGCATTTGTTGGTGTATCCTCTGAGGATTCCAAATCAATGATGATGGAAGAAACACTGTAAATAAGCATCCTACGTTGATGAAATTCTTGTTTTCTGTCATAAGTGATAATTTTGTGATTTCAGAAATAAACAGCAGCAAAGACTTCAAATGATTTGCACTTGACCTCATGTACACCTTAAGCAGAAGAAAGAGATTTTATATATTTACTTAAAAAGCAAACATCTTTGTTTCATATCCTTATTCCTCTAGATTTGTTAGTTTTAGCCCAGAAAAAGCGAGAGTCGACTATTACATGATCATAAGTGTTGTAGGATCATTAAATTAAAAAACGAGATAGTATTCATATAAACAATTTAAAACATGATAAAACTTCAATTATTTTGAGGATTGTAAGTAAAAGAATAGTAGGAGACAAAGACAATCGAAGTACATATATAGAGATATGAAGAACATGATCATACCAAAGAAAACCAATCAGAGCTGCTATTGGTTGACATATTGAGCACCTTTCAACTTCTGCAACTTCTTTAATTGAAACTTGATTTCAAGTTAATAAGGACTGGACATGGAGGCTGATGACCACAGGATTGATTTAGTCAGTGTGTACGTATTATATATTTTAACCAAAATATTATACTTGAAATAATCTTCACTCTGTATATTAAAATTTCTGATGTCATGTGAATGTGATGCTTCACCTATTTATGAGATAAACCAGTAAAACTCAATGCGACTATGTCACCTGGTAATTCCTTTTTTAATCATTCCTATCGCTATTTATTATAAGAATGCAAAAACGTTGACTTTCATTTAAACTCCTCTAGATGTGAAATTTGCCTTTGAATCAACAGTACTCACTGAAACCTATATATATATATATATATATATATATATATATATATATATATATATATATATATATATATATATATATATATATATATATATATATATATATATATATATATATATATATATATAAAAGAAAAAAAGGTTGAGAATGTGGGATTATTCTCAGCCAATCATTTATTTTTCCGGTAAAAACCCTCCTATGTACCGGCGGAAATGGGAAAGGAATGCACATGCGTTTTCTAACAAAACATGTTTCCTTACACTATGCTAAGCATTACCTTAATATATACAAAAATATAGTTTTTTCGTCTTTTTTTAATTTTTAAGAAGATATTTTTATCGAAAAATGAATGGTTTTTTATTCTCCACAAATAGACATCCATGTTGATATAGTTTTAAGATAAAATATTTTTGTTTTTTTTGTTTTTTTTTTAAATATTTTTAGCTATCGTTATTAATTAGTAAATAAAAATGAATCATGTGTTTTACTACAGTACATTCGTTATTCACTTATGAATAAAAACTATGATTATTTATATTTATATTTTTACAATTTAAGTATCATTCATATATGAATATAGTATATACTAAACATAGTATATTTATATTTAAATATTAGACGATGTATTCACTTGTGAATATTACATAGTATATTCACTTGTGAATGTTAGATGATATATTTACTTATGAATATTAGATGATATTTTCATATGTGAATTTTATATAGTATTACATGGTGTATCACATGAGAATAGTACATAGTATATTCACTTGTGAATATTAGATCGTATATTCACTTATGAATAATAGTTGGTATATTCATATGTGAATATTGCACAGTATATTCATCTATGAATATTACAAGGTGTTTTCAGAAATATATATAATTTTTATATGTTATTCACATATGAAAAACATACAAACTTGAATATTTGTTTTGTGTTTTAATAATCACATATTGATTCAGGTGATAAAATATATTCATATGTGAATATAACGTGGTAATTTAGTTTATGCATTTCATCAAACAGTTGGAGTGCATGTAAGTTAACTTTTTAAAAAATGTGATAAATATGATACTTTGACTATTTAAATCTTACAAAATAGTAGATTGGTAGAGAAATATATGAAACTTTTCAAATAAAAAATGATTTGATCTTTTTCTAACCTTAATTTCGATGTTTTATTTGATGAACGATGTTGAATGAATGATACAAATTGAATTTTTTTTTGTTGGATATCGATGATGTTGTTCTAATGATGCTGGGAGTATAATTAATCGTAGATGTTGAAGATATGTTCGTATTCAAGCAGAATTGAAGGTTGGATTGAAAGAGCAAAAAACGAATGAATTTCAACTGTTATCTAATTCTCTACACTTATGTATTTGTGATTGAAGGCTATTATATTATATTTACAAGTTTGCCACCGTGTCCTTTATGTTTAGAGGCTAGTTAAATGAGTGGCTGAGAATGATTCCCCCATTCTTAACATTTTTTATTTTCTCAATTGAACTCCCCCTCTCTCTCTCTCTCTATATATATATATATATATATATATATATATATATATATATATATATATATATATATATATATATATAAATCAAGTAAAAATCATAAAACTCATCTAACACAAATATAAATTAAAATCATATCATTATCATATCATATCATACTATATAATAAATGAAACATTTTTCATTTCACCACATTCATTTGAAACTCCCATATATTTTTCCTTGACAAAACTGTAAAATTAGTCCTTGTGGTTTGCAAAAAACTTTGGATGGGGTCCAAAAAGTTTTTGACTTGCATGGAAGGTCCAAAATCAAGAATTTTCTTTGGTTTTAGTCCTTGAAAATTTGAAAAGACTATTTTGCCCTTATTATTTCTTTTTTCATTTTCTTTATTTGTATTAATTGTTTTATAATTAAAAAAAAGAAATGGGCCTACAAACCCCATCCACCCTATATTTCTTTCTCGTGTTCTTTCCCTCTTCATCAAAAAGACATTGACTTTCAGATCATCTCCATGTCTCTCACCCCGTCGAGAAGACCTAATGATCGCCACCCCTTCTTGTCGGTGAGTATTTTACCTCTCCTCGCCTCCATTCCTCGTCCTTTATGAGCTAGTGGATTTACATATTGGAGCTTGAAACCTGCCTTAACCTTAATGAAGTCGACAACGTTGAATCTAGTAACAAATCGAAAATCTTGAAACGTTCTAACTTGTGGCGACATACTCATCTCTTTCCCTTAGCCACCAGAATATTTTAGGGTTTCAATCCAGATTTTGATTTTGTGTCTTCTGCAAATTTCTAGGTTGGTTTAGAATTTTTATTTTGATTTTCTGCAATTCTTATTCATCATTGTGTTTATCATTTTCTACGATTCGTGTTCATCACTGATTTTGTGTTTTCTGCCTACTCATGGAAGAAACCCACTAAGTCAATTTTTTTGGACATCACAGGTTTTCTTCAATGGTTTTTAAACATGGATTTTGCGAAATTTTATCATTTGGCTACTGTTGCTCGATTTGTGGTTATCAAGAGCTTGAAGAGTTTGTGTTGGGATGCACTTTGGTGTCCGCACTGTAATTTTTCGAATTATAATACACTTAATTAGGATGAATTTTGGTGTTCTAATTTTAAGTGTTTTAGGCGTAATTGCAAATAAATTTGATTTTTTTGTTGGCCTTTGCTTCTACAATAATTTTATACATTTCGATGAATGGTAAACTCATTGAAGAAGAAGGTTGTTGCAGATTCTGGGTTTTTTGTTCATATTTTGTGTGAGTTTTGATTTGCAGGTGATGTGTGATGAAGAAGAAGATGGGAAAAAGAGTCAAAAGAAAGGGAGAGAAATTGGGGTACGGTGAAGAGGAGGTGGGTGAGATTTAGTTTTTATTTTTTGTTTTTAATTATTTAAATACCAAAACAAATAAAAAAAATAGAAAAAAGAAATGAAAAGGGTAAAATCAACTTTTCAAGTGTATTATGGATCAAAAACACAGAAAAACCTTGAATTTGGATCGTCCATGCAAGTTGAAAACTTTTTGGACCCTATCCAAAGTTTTCTGAAAACCACAGGGACTAATCTTACAGTTTTGTCTTTTTCCTTTCACCATATTCATTTGAAACTCCCATGACTTTTCAATTTCTTTCTAATAAAATTTTTAAATTGGTTTATAAGGTTAATTAAATATCAAACTAAAAGTGTAAACTAAATTTCAATATTAGAATAGTATCTTTACTTTTACTTATAAAGTTATGTTTCTTTAACTTTTAACATATTGTACTTAATTTATTAGTTTTAATATATTGTTGGATGTAAACCATTATATAAACTAAATTTCAATATTAGAATAATATCTTTACTTTTACTTATAAAGTTATGTTTCTTTAACTTTTAACATATAATACTTCATTTATTAGTTTTAATATATTGTTGGATGTAAACCATTATCATTTTAAAGATACAATTTTGGAACAATTTGTAAAAAATATTTAAACTATTAATTTGCATATAACATTATAGGATCAACTTAAATATAAATTTTACTTGAACTTAAACAACCCAAAGAATATTCTGTAAATAGTTAAAAGTGATTAATTGTAGTGTCTTTCTAATAATGATTATATGTTGGTTAATAATGTTAAATAAATATCAAACATATAGTGTAATCATAAATATTCTAAATTTTAGTTTTAATATATTGTTGTGTGTAAACAATTATCAGTTTAAAGCTATTGAACAGTTTGGACAAAATACTAAAATTTTTAATTTAAATATAACATTATATTGTCAACTTAAATATAAATTTTAGTTCCACTTGAAAAAAACCAAAAAATATTTTGTAAATAGTTAAAAGTGATAAATTTTAGTCATAAATGGAAAAAACTAAATAGCAATCTCAATTTAACTAAACTATTTCCTAAAGATATTTTTTTAATCGTTAAAAGTTTTCAAATAAATAGCTTAAAATAACTTACAATAACAATAGTTAAAAGTAACTCTATATAAATGATTATATTGTTACCTTCAAAATAAAAAAAGAATGTTTTATCTTTTAAATAATTATAATGATAGAAATTAAAACATTAAGAAAATAAATTTTAAAAAACTTAATTAAAAATAACAACTATAAATAACATTAAACCATATATTATATTTAATTTTATTCATATGTAACTCGTTGATAGAAGTCATTCGAACGATTAAGATTATGCAGGTATAATAGATGTATATATTATCATATAATTTAAAATAATCGATATATTATATCAATTTAGTATACGAATTATTATATCAAATTCAACAACAACGTTATTTCTATATTTAAGAAAACCATATATTTGTTAAAACTTCAACTATATAGGTGTTTCTATGCAACGAGAGGGCATTCGCCTAGTCATATCATACTATATTATAAAGGAATCACTTTTCCTTTCACCACATTCTTTTGAAACTTCCATGCATTTTTCCTTTCACCACATTGATTTAAACTCCTATGACTTTTCACTTTCTTTCTAATAATGATTATAACTTGGTTAATAGGGTTAGATAAAAATCAAAACTAAAGTGTAATCATAGATAAACTAAATTTCAATATTGAAAAATATATTTACTTCTACATATAAAGTTATGTTTTGTTTTTTTTTTTTTTGTTTTTTTTTTTTTTTTACTTTTAATATATTATACTTAATTTATTAATTTTAATGTATTGTTGGATGTAAACCATTATCATTTTAAAGCTCTAACTTTTGAAAAATTCATATAAAATACTTCAATTATT